GCTGGCAGGGCGGGTAGGGGTGGGCATAGGGGTAAGCTCACCTGGCCTGTTCCCTCAGGTGCTGGTGGGTGGCCTGGAGTTCTGGCTGGGCACTCTGCACATCACAGCTGAGCGGGCACTGACCCTGCCAGCCATGGTGGGGTTGGCAGCAGGTGGCGGGCTCTTGCTACTCGCCATCGCTGCGGTACTGGTTGCCTACAAACGCAAGACTCGGGATGCGGATCGCACGCTCAAGCGGCTGCAGCTGCAGATGGATAACCTGGAGTCCCGTGTGGCCCTAGAGTGCAAGGAAGGTGCCTGATGGGGGTGTGGTGCAGGGCATGCGGACTAGGGGCTCCCTCCTCCTGCTCAGCTCCCCCTCCATCTGCCCCTCCCTAGCTTTTGCGGAGCTGCAGACAGACATCAACGAGCTGACGAACCACATGGATGGCGTGCAAATCCCTTTCCTGGACTACCGGACCTACGCCGTGCGCGTGCTCTTCCCGGGCATCGAGGCACACCCAGTGCTGAAGGAGCTGGATGTGAGCCCCTCCCTCCTCCCACTCCTCTTTCTGCCCTGGGCCGCCACGCTGTCTGAGATCCCTGCTCCTCACAGACACCCCCCAATGTGGAGAAGGCCCTGCGTCTCTTCGGGCAGCTGCTGCATAGCCGCGCCTTCGTGCTCACCTTCATCCACACACTGGAAGCCCAGAGCAGCTTCTCCATGCGTGACCGTGGCACAGTGGCCTCGCTCACCATGGTGGCCCTGCAGAGCCGGCTTGACTATGCCACGGGGCTGCTCAAGCAGCTGCTGGCAGACCTCATAGAGAAAAACCTAGAGAGCAAGAACCACCCAAAGCTGCTGCTGCGCAGGTACTCTGCTGTGCTGGCCCCACCCTGCCCCTACCCAGCTGCTCCACCTGGCCCCACCCCTGGCTGACCCCAAGCTCGCCAGGCCAGGGCCTGAAGGCCCCTCTCCTACCCTAGGACTGAGTCAGTGGCTGAGAAGATGCTCACCAACTGGTTCACGTTCCTGCTGCATAAGTTTCTGAAGGTGTGCTTGGCAGGTGGGTGGCGGGGGCAGCAATGCCAGGGTCCTGGCTAGTTGCCAGGCAGATAGCAAGCCATGCCTGCTGCCGGGCCCACAGGAGTGCGCTGGGGAGCCACTGTTCCTGCTCTACTGTGCCATCAAGCAGCAGATGGAGAAAGGCCCAATCGATGCCATCACTGGTGAGGCCCGCTATTCTCTGAGCGAGGACAAACTCATCCGGCAGCAGATCGACTACAAGACGCTGGTGAGCATAGGCCCCGGGGCCAGCCCTGTGGCCCTGTGCATGGCTGTGCCCTGGCCTCCCTCTCAGCTCTTCTGTTTGTAGACCCTGCACTGTGTGTGCCCAGAGAGCGACGGCAGCGCCCAGGTCCCAGTGAAGGTTCTCAACTGTGACAGCATCACTCAGGCCAAAGACAAGTTGCTGGACACAGTGTACAAGGGCATCCCATACTCCCAGCGCCCCAGAGCTGAGGACATGGACCTGGGTGAGGCCCCGCTCTGCTCCTGCCCTAGCGCCCTGCCTAAGCCCTCTCTCTGAGAGCGCACTACCTTAAGGGCTATCTGTGACCCCCAGAATGGCGCCAGGGTCGCATGGCCCGCATCATCCTTCAGGATGAGGATGTCACTACCAAAATCGAGTGTGACTGGAAGAGGGTCAACTCACTGGCCCACTATCAGGTGAGGACACAGGAGTGTTGGCCCCTCCTCATAGGCTTTGGGTGCCACCCACAGGTGTGCCAAAGCGTCTGGGTGGGTGGTGTCCCCTCGGCTTCTTGGGTTCCTGCACTGTCCTATCTCTGTCTTTGGGGCCTCCAGGTGACAGATGGTTCCTTGGTAGCACTGGTGCCCAAACAAGTGTCTGCCTATAACATGGCCAACTCCTTCACCTTCACACGCTCACTCAGCCGCTACGGTACGTGTCTTCAGCCTGGTGGCCTCTGCTAGCCCTACACCCTTCAAAGGCTGTGGGAGCTGTCTTGGGAGCCCTTGTCCAAGCAGTGGGCTGTGTCCTTGGGAGGTCCCCAGTTCTGCAGACTCTAGAAGTAGGGTGGGCCAGTGAGAATGGGTGGGTCCTCTGCAGGCTGCTGGGCTCCTAAGGGTCATCCCCATCCTCTGCCCCAGAGAGCTTGCTTCGCACAGCCAGCAGCCCTGATAGCCTCCGCTCGCGGGCCCCCATGATCACCCCTGACCAGGAGACAGGCACCAAGCTGTGGCACCTGGTGAAGAACCACGACCATGCCGACCACCGAGAGGGGGACCGTGGCAGTAAGATGGTCTCAGAGATATACCTGACACGGCTGCTAGCCACCAAGGTGTGGGCCTACCCTGCACCACCCTAGCCTCTGTGTGGAGGACATCTTCTAGCCCTGCGTTGGCCCTGAAGTTGGCCTGGCCTGCTCCAGCAGGCTGGCCTTGGGGCCTTGGCTATGCAAACTCCCAGGCTAAGGTGGAGGGAGGGAGGCCCTGTCTGTCTTGCTTTGGGGACATTCTGACCTGGCTGCCTCCCAGCCTGCATCCTTGCTGTCCCTCAGGGCACGTTACAGAAGTTTGTGGATGACCTCTTTGAAACTGTGTTTAGCACGGCCCACCGGGGCTCAGCCCTGCCCTTGGCCATCAAGTACATGTTCGACTTCCTGGACGAGCAGGCTGATCAGCGGCAGATCAGCGACCCTGACGTGCGCCATACCTGGAAGAGCAACTGGTACTGCCCCAGGCCCCCTGGGGATGGGTGGGTGAAAGAGGATGGTGGCATTGCCAAGACCCAGGGCCCATGGGGGCAGGTGGTTGGCAGGAGAGAATGGTGGCCTGGCCTGGGGCTGACAGCGATGGTGCTACCAAGCCAAGAGGGTGATCGAGTAATCGTACAGGTAGATTCTGCTGCATGTTCAGATAGAGGTGCTAGTGGTTTGGCCTGAGTGTGGCAATGGTGACAGTGGAGGCTGTGGAGGGGGTAGAGACTGCCCGAGGTCCAGCAGGGACTTACAAATGAGGCTGCCCACCCTCAGTGTGTCACCCGTGCTCCCTCTGGACCAGAACTAAGCTAGCCAGGCAGGCGGTGGGAGGAGCCCCAGGACCACTCAGGAGTTTTGGCTGTGTCTCCTTGCTAGCCTGCCCCTGCGCTTCTGGGTGAATGTGATCAAGAACCCACAGTTCGTGTTTGACATCCACAAGAGCAGCATCACGGATGCCTGCCTGTCAGTGGTGGCCCAGACCTTTATGGACTCCTGCTCCACGTCTGAGCATCGCCTGGGCAAGGACTCGCCCTCCAACAAGCTGCTCTACGCTAAGGACATCCCCAACTACAAGGGCTGGGTGGAGAGGTGGGCCCTGGCTTGCAGTTGTGAGATGCCACACTGTGGGAGTGGAGGCAGGGGGCTGCCCCAGCCTGGCCTGCCTGTGTGAGGGGTGTCAGCTGCAGGAGGCAGCCTGGGAGCTGCCTGGCAGCAAGGGCTGGGGCCTTGGCTTTTGTGATAACTGCCAGAGAACCTACTCAGGGTCCCAACAGGTACTATCGAGACATTGCCAAGATGGCATCCATCAGCGACCAGGACATGGATGCCTACCTGGTGGAGCAGTCCCGCCTCCATGCCAGTGACTTCAATGTCCTCAGTGCACTCAGCGAGCTCTACTTCTATGTCACCAAGTACCGCCAGGAGGTGTGCGCTGCTTCTCCTGTGGGCCCCAGTGGCCTGGCTCTGAGAGTCAGCCAGCAGCAGAGGCGTGGTGGGGGTGTGGATGGAGAGAGGCTGTTGGCCCACCTCTTGGCTTGTTCACAGCTGGGATTCTAGGGACATGCAGCTTGTGATGGGAGATATCCCTAGAGCTGTGAGCTTCAGGGTGTATCTTGGGTAGAGATGCAGCCAGTGGTCCTCGCAGCCTAGGAGGGGGGCTATGAGTGAGTATCCAGGGAGATCAGGCCCAAGCACTGAGCCCTGCACCCAAGAGGAGGGAGGGAACCCAGGAGAGCCTGGAGGGTCTGATAACATGAGCAGAGACCTGAGGAGGGGGTGAGCAGCCCTGTCAGGTGCCAGGGGGAGGCCCAGGGTGCTGTCTGGCTCTGTCATTGGAGGGGAATTGGCCTGTGATCAAGGATAAGCTGGTGGGCATGTTTATACGGGAGAGACTTGAGCTGCTGGGCAGAGGGATGGCTGAGGCCTGGGGGATGTGGGGAGGGAGGAGCTCGGCTGGGAGGGGGCGGCCTTCCTTGAGAGCCCAGCCCCAGGGCACCCTTCTCCCCCAGATTCTTACCGCTCTGGACCGAGATGCCTCCTGTCGGAAGCATAGGCTGCGCCAGAAGCTGGAGCAGATCATCAGCCTCGTGTCCAGCAACAGCTAAGGGTGGTGGAGTCGGTGAGGAGGGGCCTCCTCAGTTCTGAGCCGTCCTCCAGGCAAGGGGAGTGGCTGGGTGTTGCAACAGGGGCCCTTGGTGGGG